TCTTGGAATTTAGTTTATAGGTCAGGCTGGCCTTGAACTCAAGAGATCCGCTTGCCTCTGCCTCCTGGATTAAAGGCTTGTGCCACCACTGCCCACCTAACAATGACCCTTAAGGAAAACAAATAGCCTATTCAAAATATGGTTTTAAAAGTATGTTTTTAAAAAGACATTTGTGAGGAAATCCAGAGTGAGGAACTTATTGTTAGACCTAAAGGGACAAGGGAAGGAAGTATTTGCTTCAGGTTCCAAAAGAGATTCTGGTTGAGTGGGCTACATTTCAAGGAGTGTTCCTTAGCTGAGGTACACAGCTGGATCGGGCAACCTGGGAGGGGGCCAATGGAAAACCGATCTCAGCTTACTCCCTCAGTAACCACAGCTCAGAAGTTGGTCAGAGCTAGAGATCCAGAGAACATGGAATCCCGTTGAAGTAGTGTTTATGGATCAGTTTCCCTGGGCAGAGAGCATGGGGTGAAAACCAATGTAGATGTAGAAGTTCTGATGGAAGCTACAGAGTGAAGTTATATGGCAGCATCATTGAGTATACTTATTCACAGAGACCTAGAGCATCCTAGGAAAATACATTTTTTTTTTGTTCCTGGATTTTAAACTGAGAAGAAAAAAGAAGCCTATATTTAGCTAATCTTTACTTCGTTTCAGTAATAATAATAATAATAATAATAATAATAATAATAATAACAATAACAATAACAATAACAATAACAATAATAAACAGTTTGTAATCCCAGAGACTAAATCCAGGTCTCTGAAGTAGTCCACCACTGACACAAATTCCCAGCCCCTTCCTTTCTGTTGTAAACTTGAAATTACCAAACAAGCTGGGCTTTTATTTATTTATTTTTTGATACTGACTTGTTATGTTTATTTTTAGTTAACCTACATATTTGTGTCCTGGGGACTCTGGATAGTTTTATTTAAATAATACAAGGCCATACATACATGTAGATCAAACACACATATGTATAAAATTTAAGTCTTTTAAAGTTTGTCTCCAAGTGTCAAACGTAACTTGTTTATTTAAGACCACATTCAAAAAATAAAACCTTTTGCCTGTCTAATTGTGTTTGGTCATGCATTCATTTACTCGGCTTCATTTGAGATATGCCTCCCTGTACCAATGCTAGAATCATCCAGATTTGAAGATAAAGATTAAGTGAGAAAGATAAGTTAAACCAGGGAATACAGATGTTTGCAAGCTGCCAGTAGTGCTACTGTGATGATCGCGAGTGTCAATCACAATTGCAACCATGACAGAAGGCAGGCTGGAGGACCATTCTGGAATGGATGGATGATCGGCAAAATCTTTTTAAACTAGTGACACCAAGATGAACTTCACAGATTAAGAGGCTGTGGTTATATTTGTTGGCTTCATACTTTATTGATAAGACTATTTTATACATGGAGATAGCAATGTGAAAGTTCTGGGGTGTCAAATGTATACTGAGAAACCAAGAAATGGCTGATGTGTCTGGGGTCGCAGGAAGACTGGGGATGAGTGACTTCAGATGATGCTGGAATAGTAGGAGTGGGCCCAATATGCCAATCATTGTATATCTCATTAAATGTTTAAATTTGTCCCACAACGAATGGAAAAACATTAACCAGTGACATGACTAGATATGGCTTCTCTTTGAAGTATACCATTTTGTCTGTGATGTCAAGAATGTAGGTGTACAATTAAAGAAATAGTCCCAAAGGCACTGTATCCTGACTAAGATGTGGTGGTGCTTTGATTGTCAATAGACATGGCAAGAAATACATAGGCCTGAAAGAAAGTTTTGAAAGCAAAATTAAAAGGAATCACAGATGGGTTGGTTAAAAATATTAAGGAAATTTCATTTGCCAATATGTCCTACATCTGGATTCTTCTAGCACTTCTTTAAACTTCCCATGGTTCATTAAAGGTGATGGGAAATACTTATGACCAACTTAAGATTCCACATATTAATTTAATTTGCCATTCTTAAAGCTAACCTGCCAGTTGAACACCTTCTTTTCTTTTATAGGTACATTGTCTTGGTGGAGAAATTGGAGCAGAAATCTGGGAGCATCTCCTTGTCATGATCCGATGTCCTTTTTTGGCCCTTTCAGCTACCATAAGCAACCCTCAACATCTTACTGAGTAAGGATTAGGTTCTATTTTGGACAGAATGTTTATCTGTTTTTATTAAGATTTATTTATTTATGATGTGTACAGTGTGTAGCTCAGTCAGTAGAGCACGAGACTCTTAATCTCAGGGTTGTGGGTTTGAGCCCCATGTTGGGCACCATTTTTAGTTGAAAGTTTTCCTGTGTCCTGTCCAGTCAGCAGCAGCTCAGACCCAAGTAAACACACAGAGTCTTATGTTAATTAAAAGTGCTTAGCCATTAGGTCAGGCTTACTACTGACTAGCTCTTGCATTTACACTCATCCCATTTCTGTTAATCTATATGTTGCCATGTTTTCCATGGCTTTACCTGTGTGCCATTACATGCTGCTCCCTGCATGACAGGCTAGTGTCTCCTGCCTCAGCCTTCCTCTCCAGAATTCTCTTTGTCTGCTTATCCTGCTTATACTTCCTGCCTGGCTACTAGCCAATCAGTGTTTTATTAAACTAGTATACAAAAGCATTATTGTACAGCAACAGTGTTCTGCCTGCATGTATGCCTGCACACCAAAAGAAGGCACCAGATCTCATTATAGATGGTTGTGAGCCAACATGTAGTTGCTGGGAATTGAACTCAGGACCTCCAGAAGAGCAGCCAGTGCTCTTAACCTCTGAGCCAATTTCTCCAGCCCCTGTTTATCTGTTTTGAGAGTTTAAATTTTATACATCTCTTATGGGCTTTAGAGTGACCTCAATTTTTGTTTAACTCATAGTAATCCCTGAATTTTCAAGCTAGTCTCTGTTTAGTTCTTTCTGATAAGTCTTGGCTACTCTCTACAAAGAAGTACCCCGCACTCCTTGGGTCAAATCTGCAGTTGAATAGGAAGTATCATATCATAGCTCAAAAATAAAATGATAGCTGCATATTCCTTTTCTTTCCCCCCCACCCCCTTTACTAGGAAACAAAAATCAGGTGATAGACTGATACATTCAGCCATAGATTCCAAGATCATCCCATTTTGTAGATATATTTGTTTAGAAAGGGAGCAAATCTGTATTAGTTGAAAGCCACCCATCTTGTCATTGGACTTGAATGTTGACTACTGATAACAATGTATCCTGTCGCATCTCGCATATGTCACATTCCTTGCTAAGTATTTTGCATATAGTAAATTATCTTAAATATCATCAATATTTGTGTACTACTATTTCCATTGTTATTATTAGATAACAGTACTTTTACTATTCTATTGATTTTTTAAACATGAAAGACAGTCACAGAAGTATTAAATGATTCATGCAGGATTCAGAATTAATAGTAAGGAAGCTATAATTTTATTTCAGGTTATATGGCTCTAAAACTAATTCCCTTCTGTGAAAATTTTAAGACACATGAACTTTTTGTAATTAATTATTTAATTTCATGTAAGTTGTTTCTATTTTCTGCTTAAATAATGTATGAGTTGCTTTTGTGTTGATGTGAAAAAAAGTACCTTAAAAGCAGTACACCTTTATTTAGACTCATGGTTTTAGAAAGATTTCAGCCCATCACAGTGGAAAAGGCAGGGAGAAGAGGCTTCATCCATGGAAATGGAAGCCTGAGGTGGCTGCTTGCTCACATGGCAACAGACAGGAAGCAGAGACAGCTAGATAAGAACCTAGTATAACCTTTGTGATGGCTTATACTGGTTGTCCATTATTCCTTAAAGTCTCACTGCTAGTGACTGGCTTCTGTTATGCAGCTCCCACCTTCTAATGACTCCACAGCTTTCAAAATAATACCAAAGACTCGAAACATGAACCATTGGGCACATTACTGATTACAATATTAAGTAATATGTCTATGTTTTAAAGGTGGCTCCAGTCAGTAAAGAGGTACTGGAAACAAGTGGACAGTGCAATGGGAAAAGGAACTTTTTCCAAAAGAAATGCTGGCTCCCACGGCCGTCATCACAAAGACGAAGTGCGAGCTAGACAGTCATACAAAGTTAGACTTGGTACGTATGCTCTGTGCATTTGTATGATCTTGATTTTATTTGGTTTGGCTGCTTGATTAAAATTAAAATTATTTAAACTCATCACATTTCTGATCATTTGGAAAAATCTCCCTTTTCCGCTTTCAGTGCTCTATGGAGAGAGATACAATGATCTAGAGAAGTATCTGTGTTCTGTGAGACAAGATGAGGTTTGCTTTGATCATTTTCATCCATGTGCTTCACTAACCACAGATCACGTAAGTAACAACTTTTGTCACAGTCGTTCCACAGAACAGCACTGCCCGGCTAACAACTGAAAATGTAATACTGTGTAGATGGTAACGGAAGCGCAGCCTGATGCCAGCATGTAGAGGAAACACTACGACTTTGATTTAAAAATGAACAGCAGTGTGAAGTTTCCCTAGTTTCTCAATGTTATGATGCTATCAGGATCCTCGAGGTTCAAAAACTACTAAACACTGTAACAATGATTTTGTGAGTTTGGGGACACTATTTCTCCCCACTTTCCTCTTTGTTAGGCACCCATGTCTGCCTGTCTCTCTTCACTAGCTCACGGCTGCACCACGAATGAAATGCTGAGGATTTAACCTCTCCTCTTTGTGCAGCTACCACCTTGTGTGAATAAGCTTCTCATGTGAGAACATGACTAATGTGTAAATCAGGACCACATGCTTCCAATTGCCATAACAATCATGAGTCATTAGCCATGACTCTTTGGTAGTGACCCAGCAATGTAGAGACCTTGAAACAATGTCAGAAAGGCTCTTGGATGGTTAGTGGGTGATCGTTTCTTAAATATTTGCTGCATATACCTGTCTTTTGTTCTCCTTCTGTTCCGTTCTAAGGTTCATTTAAACTCACGTTGGCCTTAAAATGATAGCCATTCCTTTCTCTTCCTTCCAAGACCTGAAAAAAAATTAAGTATATTCTACACTCTGATACTATATTATGGCTCCTTAATTATAATTTTATTCTTTAAAAAGTTTTACTGGACTTCTTAAAAAAGGGCTAAGTACACATTCCTCGAGAACTAAGGTCTTCCAGGGGCTTTTCCTACATTATTGCATTTACTGAATGGGTTTTGCTTGGAGGCCTTTATGACTTACCCTGTTTGTCCTAAATGCCAAAGGCTAGTACCTAAATCTTGCTTTTTCTTTTTTTTTATTAAGAAAGTTTTTCATTCAATTTACACCCAAGCCCTTCCCCCTGCCTCAAGCCTGCATGAGGTGTCCCACCATAGGTAGTGGGCTCCACAAAGCCCGCTCATGCACCAGGGATGGATTCTGATCCTACTGCCAGGGGGCCTCACAAGCATATGAAACTACACAACTGTCTGACCATGCAGAGGGCCTATTCCAGTCCCATGTATGGTTCACAGCAATTGATCCAACTTTCATGAGTTCCCACTAGTTTGGTTTGGTCATCCCTGCATGTTTCCTCATCATGATCCTGATGTACTTGCTCATAGAATCCCTCTTCTCTCTCTTTGACTGGACTCCTAGAGTGCTGTCTAGTGACTGGCTGTGGATCTCTGCATCTGCTTTCATTAGTCATTGAAGGAAAGTTCTGCCATGACAGAGTATTCACTGGTCTGATATTTGGGCAAGCAAGTTCAGTTCAGGCACCCTCTCAACTATTGCTAGTAGCCCAGGCTGGGGTCATCCTTGGGAATTCCTGGCAACTTCCCTAGCACTGGGTTTCTCGATACCCCATGATGTCTCTCTCTATCATGGTATCTCTTTCATTTCTCCCCCCTTGCTTCCTGTTCTAGCTCAACCATCCCATTCCCTTAGGTTCTGATCCCCTATCCCCTACCCTCCATGGCCCACTCCTCATCCCCAGTTTACTCATGGAGATCTTATCTATTATTCATTCCCAGGGAGGTCCATGCATCCCTCTTTGGGTCTTCCCTGATAGTTAGCTTCTCTGGAGTTGTGGGTTGTTGACTGATTACCCTTTGCTTTGAATCTATTGTCCATTTATGAGTGATTACATACCATGTTTGTCTTTCTGAGCCTGGGTTACCCCACTCAGGATGATATTTTCTAGTTCCATCCATTTACCTGCAAATCTCATGATGTCATTGTTTTTCTCTGCTGAGTAGTACTCCATTGTATATATGTACCACATTTTCTTAATCCATTCTTCAGTTGAGGATCATCTAAGTTGTTTCCAGGTTCTGGGTATTACAAATAATGCTGCTATGAACATAGCTGAGCATGTGTCCTTGTGGTATGATTGAGTATTCCTTGGGTATATACCTAAGAGTAGTATAGCTGGGTCTTGAGGCAGATTGATTCCCAGTTTTCTGAGAAACTGCCATGCTGATGTCCAAAGTGGCTGTACCAGTTTGCACTCCCACCAACAGTGGAAGTTCCCCTTGATCCACATCTTCTCCAACATAAGTTGTCTGCAGTGCTTTTGATTTTAGCCATTCTGACAGGTGTAAGATGGTATCTCAGAGTCTTTTTGATTTGCAGCTCCCTGATAATGAAGGATGCTGAGCAATTCCTTAACTGTCTTTTGGCCATTTGGAATTCTTCATTTGAGAATTCTCTTTTTAGCTCTATAGCCCATTTTTAACTGGATTGTTTGTTATTTTGATGTGTGGTTTCTTGAGTTCCTTTTATATTTTGGAGATCAGCCCTCTGTCAGATATGAGATTGGTGAAAATCTTTTCCCATTCTGTAGGCAGTCCTTTTGTCTTATTTACTGTGTCCTTTGCCTTACACAAGCTTCTCAGTTTCAGGAGGTCCCATTTATTAATTGCTGCCCTAGGTGTCTGTGCTACTGGTGTTATATTTAGGAAGTGATCTCCTGTGCCAATGTGTTCAAGACTATTTTATACTTTCTCTTCTATAAAGTTCAGTGTAACTGGTTTTATATTGAGGTCTTTGATCCACTTGGACTTCAGTTTTGTGCATGACAACAGATATGGATCGATTTGCAATAAATGTTGACATCCAGTTATTCTAGCACCATTTGTTGAAGATGCTTTCTTTTTTTCCATTGTACCATTTTGGCTTCTTTATCAAAAATCAGGTGTTCATAGGTGTGTGGGTTAATGTCAGGGTCTTCAATTCGATTCCATTGGTTCACATGTCAGTTTTTATGCCAATACCAAGCTGTTTTTATTACTATAGCTTTATAGCAGAGCTTGATGTCAGGGATGGTGATGCCTGCAGAGGTGGTTTTGTTATAGAGGATTCTTTTAGCTATCCTGGGATTTTTTGTTTTTGCAAATGAAGTTGAGTATTGTTCTTTCTGTGAAGAATTGTATTGTGATTTTGATGGGGATTGCACTGAATCTGTAGATTGCTTTTAGTAACATTGCCATTTTTACTATGTTAATCCTTCCTATCCATGAGCATGGGAGATCTTTCCATTTTCTGATATCTTTGTCAATTTCTTTCTTCAGGGACTTAAAGTTTTTGTCATACAGGTCCTTTGCTTGCTTAGTTAGAGTAACCCCAGGGTATTTTATATTATTTGTGGCTATTGTAAAGGGTGTTATTTCTCTGATTTCTTTCTTAGCCTGTTTGTCATTTGTATATAGAAGGTCTAGGAGGGCTAGGATATAAGGATTTATTTTTTTAGTTAATCTTGTACCTTGCCCTGTTACTGAAGGTATTTATCATCTGTATGAGTTCCTTGGTCAAATTTTTGGGGTCACTTATGTATCATGTCATCTGCAAATAGTGAAAGTTTGATTCTTTCATTTCCAATTTGTATCCCCTAGATCTCCTTATGTTGTCTTATTGCTCTGGCCAGAACTTCAAGTACTATATTGAACAAGTGTGGGGAGAGTGGATAGCCTTTTCTTGTTCCTGATTTTAGTGGAATTGCTTTGAGTTTCTCTCCATTTACTTTGATGTTGGCTGTTGGCTTGCTGTAAATTGCCTTTATTATGTTTAGGTATGTTGCCTGTATTCCTGATCTCCCCAAGACCTTTATCATGAAGGGGTGTTGAATTTTGTAAAAGGCCTTTTCAGCATCTAGGAAGATGATCATGTGGTTTTTTTCTTTCAGTTTGTTTATACGGTGTATTAAATTGAGAGACCTTTGTATGTCAAACCACCGTTGCATCTCTGGGATGAAGCCTACTTGATCATGATGGATAATTGTTTTGATGTGTTCTTGGAGTCTGTTTGCCAATATTTTATTGAGTATTTTTGCATCAATATTCATGAGGGAGATCGGTCTGTAGTTTTCTTTCTTTGTTGCATTTTTGTTTGGCCTGGGAATCAGGGTAATTGTAGCCTCATAGAAGGAGTTTGGTAATGTTCCGTCTGTTTCTATTGTTTGGAACAATTTAAAGAGTATTGGTATTATCTCTTCTTTGAAGATCTGGTAGAATTCTGTGCTAAAACCATCTGGTCCTGGGCTTTTTTTGGTTGGGAGACTTTTAATGACTGGTTCTATTTCCTTAGGGGTTATTGGACTATTTAAATTGTTTATCTGGTCTTGATTTAACTTAGGTATATGGTACCTATCCAGAAAATTATCCATTTCTTTTAGATTTTCCAGTTTTGTGGAATACAGGTTTTTGAAATGTTGTTCTCTTTGTTTCTATTTTATTGATTTCAGATCTCAATTTGATTATTTCCTGGTATCTCTTCCTTCTGGGTGACTTTGCTTCTCCTTGTTCTACAACTTTTACAAGTGCTGTTAAGACACTAGTGTAAGATTTCTCCAACTTCTTTATGTGCACATTTAGTGCTATGAATTTTCCTCTTAGCAGTGCTTTCATAGTGTCCCATAAGTTTGGGTATGTAGTACATTAATTTTCATTGAACCCTAGGAAGTTTTTAATTTCTTTCTTTCTTTTTCTTTCTTTCTTTCTTTCTTTCTTTCTTTCTTTCTTTCTTTCTTTCTTTCTTTCTTTCTTTCTTTCTTTCTTTCTTTCTTTCTTTCTTT